CTGGTCATGCTTCTGGTCCCAGTCAGACTCTGAACCCTCCTGGGAGCCTGTGGATGCCTGGAAGTCTGATCCTGCCACCTGTTTCTGTTCCTGCCTGATCTCGATTCTGTCCCTGTCTGTTCCTGTCTGTTCTGGATCCCTGACCAGGATCTGCTTCCAGCATGTCCTCTGGAACTACAGCACTTGGGGACATTCTAGGACTGGACTGTTAAACCAGAGTGTCTGTGATTGGGCGGTGCCCCGCTCCCCTTCCTGCAGTGTCCGCGAGCCACAGCTCCGCTTTTGTTTTGTTTGTTTACTTAATAAACGTTCTGAACTTTCCTACTGACTGTCTCTCCTTGAATACTGGGTTCCTCTGTCCTCAGTTCATGACACCTGTATCCAGACATATAGTCACTTGGTTTAAGATATTAAAACACAAAAAAATAAACAAACATTAAACAACTAATACCTAAACCAGTCTAAATGGTTAGTTGTTTAATGTTTACATCAATAAAAAACATTACAGCTGATCAATTCATTGGTGGAAAGTAATCAACATGCTGTGATAGATGAAAGTTTTCATGAGAAAAGAAAAATACATTTCAAAGTAAACTTAAAACTGATGATTTTTAATGGTTCTATAATGGGAGATGGAGCTGTGTTTGACTGTGTCAGGAGTTCAGGGCATCCCTCCTTCTCAGCAGAATCCTCTGCAGCTCCTCATCTGGGTTCACAGAAGGCGGCACAGCTTTCGGTGGAGGCCGAGCTTTGTTGAAGTTCTCCTGGACGGGTCAATAAATCACGTGACTGCAGGAAAATGACTACGAATGTCCAAAATATAAATGCAACGTTTCATTTTTTAATTTAATTAACTGCACCTTTTCAACCTAAAAAACATTTCTGCATTTATTATTTACTATATATATATACATCCAACAAGTTAACTGACCAATTAATTGTTTCCACTTTGAACTTTACATAAAGATAAGAACTGAATTATCTTCCATATGCTTTTATATTGCCATATATGAGGATTTGTTTTTATCAACTTCTTTCTTACCGTAAATAAAATTTATGCAAATATTTCTATGTTCAAATATTTTTTATAGTTAAAATAAAGAAAAAAAGCAGGGTTTAAGCAGTAAAACACAGCTTCAAAGTCCCATTACCATGATTCCTTTAAGTTCTTGAATGGCAGAATTAGAGGGCAGCCTCTCCATCTGATAAAAGGAAAATAGGAGGAGAAAATGGCTTTGGTAAATAAACAACGGCCCTGACACATTATGCTTATTTTACCTCATTCAGCACTTAAATGATAAATTGCTTCTCTCACCACAAAGATGAAACATTGTACTCTAGAATAAAGATGTATGGTTTCTACAAGAAGCAAATGTGTTAACACATAAGCATTTCGAGTCATGACCATTTTTCCATCCTCATTATTTCTAATGACCTCGCAGAGCAGCCGCTAATGCTATCTAATTTGACAGAGTTGTTAAGGAGGACTGAAAGAAGTCCTGACCGTACAGCATCTTTAAACAAAACAAGAAGCTCTTAGATAATCCTGAACACTGATGGATTTGAGAGCACTGAACAATATATGCTCACACACACACAAACACACATCTGTGTCACGCTATGCTTCTGAGGACTTTCCTTTTGACTTCTATTCATATGGGATTTATTTCTACGACCTAACGCTAACCGTTACCAACAGACTTGACCCTCACCTGAACTCAATTAACACCTTAGCCTTAAAGCTAACCCTCACCGCCAAGAGGAGAACTTTTCTTCACCAGTCGTTGGTCCCCACAAGTACCTATAGTATAACTCCAACACACCCCCACCCCCATCCCTAAACACACATGTGAAAAACTGGCCCCAGAACACTTGATATCTGCTGCTGGTGGTTTACTTCAAGGATTTTAGCAGCAAAGACACATTTTCCATTTTCCGTGTGATTAGTGGTTAATATATTCTACATTTAGGGCTGCTTCTCTCCTTCTTCTCAAACTCTGCCAATGATGTTATCTTTGGTGTGAAGCAAAAGTACTTTTGAGGCTTTTTTCAAAGATGGAGAATAAGGAAAATATCAGGCAACTGTCCACTAAATTCACACGTTTGAATATTAGTGCATTAAAACTTGTTTTGAATGTTTGCTATTTAAATGCACTAAAGCTAGAACTAAATTACTTTATTTTGGTTATTAATATTTAATTATCAATAAAGTATGCAAAGTTTGTTAAATTAGAGACCATAGCTACAACGCTTTAATCAAAATGATTCATTATGAAACATAAATAAAACCATAACCTTTACTACAGAAAATAAATGTTGTATTGTTTGGACTATTTTAATTGATGATGTGTGAGTGTTTTAAACGCTAATAATACCTGCCTGTTGCATGGCAGAGCTAATGTTTTTAAAAGTGCCGTCATGATCTTAGCACTGATGACTGGTCTGATTACTCATTTCATTCACCTGCTTAGCTTGACCCAGTTCTTATTACTGTTCATTTGATCTTCCTGCTTCATCCTTTATTTAACCAGCCTTCAGACCAGTCATCAGGGACAGATTGTTTTCCAACCTGTGGTGAGAAGTTTTCTAGCAATCCTGTATTTCTGATTGACTGATCCTGACCCATACTGCCTCTGAGCCTCCCGGTTTCCATTATGATCTGTTTGACTGACCTGTCTTCCGACTTGTGCTGGATCCCTTCCTGTATATGACCTGAACTTAGAATTCTCCCTCGATACCTCACCGTATCTCTGATCTCCTGGCTCTGACTCCCAAGCACATCTTCGACACCGACTTTGGCTTCGCCCTCTGGATTATCCTGCCAAAATTCATCTGCTTGGTTCTGATCTCCTGTAGGTCCTCTGACCTCCAGGACTTCAGCACCTGGGCTGGAATCAACCTCATCCTCTTGGCTCGGACTGAACTGTAAGCTTTTTCAATTCAAAATTAATTTTGAATTGAAAAAGGTTCTTGTATGGGGAATTAAACGTCTTCAAACTTTGAAAACAGGGAAAACTCTGACTTTCTGCACAATGTTTTTCTCCCGTGTTTCTCCTAGGTTCAGTTCCTGTTATTTCTGGATTTATGTTTTTATACCATCTACTTCACCATTAAAACTGCAGCAACCATCTCTGCCTTCCAGATCCTTACAGTGGGGATCAGCTGGGAAATAAATAGGATGTTTTGTCTTTTCAACCTCCCTGTGCTTGTCTCTGGATTTAAGTGCTCTCATTGGCTATCAGCCACAGCTACTAAGAAAATAGATCAATGATGATCTTCTAGCCTAATTTAAATTGCCTCACCTTTGGTTCATTCCTGTTGGGGGACTGGTTGACTGGTCGAAGTTGAATTCCTCTCTTTATTCTCTGCATCATCTCCTCTACAGCCTGGTGCCGGATGTCTTCTAGGCAGGGAAATATCAGATCACACCAAAACTGTTAAACAATTCAGCTTTTAGTGAAACGGGTAAGATGTAAGATAATCTATAAACCTAATAAGATATGATCTTCAGATTAATGACCAACCTGAGCGCCATGCTCTTAAAATGGAAGTGCTAAAGGACTTTAATACAGAAAACTATGGAAACTAGAAAACTTAGCAAAAACTCAGCCACAAAGAGTTTAATGTTGCAGAAATATTTATAATTTCAATATGTGGGGAGGATGATGTAAAGCAACTGTTACGATAATTATCATTGATGATGTGGGAGTTTATTGCACAATAATATAACCTGCCTGTTGCGTGTCAGAACTGATACCAGTAGTTTATCTAATTAAGATAGTTCCTCTGTCTGGATATACAGTTATAATCTTCATTCTGTACGAGGCAAAGATTTGGGAATGTGATGAGAGCGGTGTCCTTCAGCTATGAACAAAGTGGATGTCTAATCATCTGCTAACATCTATGACATAATGATGTGATGATGTGGCAGACTGGAGATGTATAAAATGCTTCTCTAACTGTGAATCG